ACAAGGGTCGTGGACTGCATCTGCCCTTCACTAGAGAAACAGAACTTGTTTGTCTCCTCCAGCACATCCACCCTTTAACCCTAACTGACAAAAACACACAATCTAAAAACTGCACAAACTTTCAAGTGGACGCAGTGTTTCCCAGCAACTCATTTCATTTTGCCATTTCAGTGTCTCTTGCCAGAAAGTCTGTTTTCTTGGTCTGGTTGGAGGTGCTCATGTATGGGCTTAAAGGACTGATGCGTTCCCTGCAACTGGTGAATCACAAAAGAAATTGGAAGTCACTCTTTGCTCAGAGCTGAGTGTGTGCCCTGTGAGGGATTCTTGCAGTCATCACTTTGCACTCGCTCAAAAGGCACCCTGCCTAGTCTGGACAATCACTATCTATCAATATGTTTTGTTACTTATAAATCTGTAGTGGCTTTGGTTGCAGTGAAGACTGGACAAAGCACCTGTCTGCAATAATTTTAAAAAAAGACCATTAAAGATCTGCAGGGATGTTTACACAGTATTTACAGACTAAATGCATGTGCAAATACACAACCAGCATATGCACGCTTGTGTTTATGGAATGAAATAAGGATGAAATGATGGAAAGTTTCTTCCACCCAGCCATGCACTGCACTTTCTTGCTAAACTCTTCAATGCAATTTTGTTCGGCAGGCTGTCTGCAAGGCGTCTACAGCAGCTAATGTAATCTGTGATATGATCTGGCCTGTGTGGGCTGCGGCCTGGTGCAGCAGTTCTACACGCACACCTCTACACACACAAGAACACATGAAAGGGTTAATATGCATGTTCATATCTACATCAGGAATCGCCTGCTACAGTGCCTTGCGAAAGTATTCGGCCCCCTTGAACTTTGCGACCTTTTGCCACATTTCAGGCTTCAAACATAAAGATATAAAACTGGAATTATTTGTGAAGAATCAACAACAAGTGGGACAGAATCATGAATTGGAACGAAATTTATTGGATATTTCAAACTTTTTTAACAAATAAAAAACTGAAAAATTGGGCGTGCAAAATTATTCAGCCCCCTTAAGTTAATACTTGGTAGCGCCACCTTTTGCTGCGATTACAGCTGTAAGTCGCTTGGGGTATGTCTCTATCAGTTTTGCACATCGAGAGACTGAAATTTTTGCCCAGTCCTCCTTGCAAAACAGCTCGAGCTCAGTGAGGTTGGATGGAGAGCGTTTGTGAACAGCAGTTTTCAGTTCTTTCCACAGATTCTCGATTGGATTCAGGTCTGTTCCTTCAGGAATGGCCCTGTATTTGGCTCCATCCACCTTCCGCTCAATTTTAACCATCTTCCCTGTCCCTGCTGAAGAAAAGCAGGCCCAAACCATGATGCTGCCACCACCATGTTTGACAGTGGGGATGGTGTGTTCAGGGTGATGAGCTGTGTTGCTTTTACGCCAAACATAATGTTTTGCATTGTTGCCAAAAAGTTCGATTTTGGTTTCATCTGACCAGAGCACCTTCTTCCACATGTTTGGTGTGTCTCCCAGGTGGCTTGTGGCAAACTTTAAACGACACTTTTTATGGATATCTTTAAGAAATGGCTTTTTTCTTGCCACTCTTCCATAAAGGCCAGATTTGTGCAGTATACGACTGATTGTTGTCCTATGGACAGAGTCTCCCACCTCAGCTGTAGATCTCTGCAGTTCATTCAGAGTGATCATGGGCCTCTTGGCTGCATCTCTGATCAGTCTTCTCTTTGTATGAGCTGAAAGTTTAGAGGGACGGTCAGGTCTTGGTAGATTTGCAGTGGTCTGATACTCCTTCCATTTCAATATTATCGCTTGCACAGTGCTCCTTGGGATGTTTAAAGCTTGGGAAATCTTTTTGTATCCAAATCCGGCTTTAAACTTCTCCACAACAGTATCTCGGACCTGCCTGGTGTGTTCTTTGTTCTTCATGATGCTCTCTGCGCTTTAAACGGAGCTCTGAGACTATCACAGTGCAGGTGCATTTATATGGAGACTTGATTACACACAGGTGGATTCTATTTATCATCATTAGTCATTTAGGTCAACATTGGATCATTCAGAGATCCTCACTGAACTTCTGGAGAGAGTTTGCTGCACTGAAAGTAAAGGGGCTGAATAATTTTGCACGCCCAATTTTTCAGTTTTTTATTTGTTAAAAAAGTTTGACATATCCAATAAATTTCGTTCCACTTCATGATTGTGTCCCACTTGTTGTTGATTCTTCACAATATAATTACAGTTTTATATCTTTATGTTTGAAGCCTGAAATGTGGCAAAAGGTCGCAAAGTTCAAGGGGGCCGAATACTTTCGCAAGGCACTGTATGTACCACAGAGGCCAAGAGTGTGGAGGTGATTATGATGGACTATACACCTAAATAGGAGTTTACATTATTTACTATGATTCTCTAAAATAAAATCCAAATTAAACATTTAAGTAAACTAATATGAGAGCATGTTTATGTGGTACACAGTAAATAATAAACTAGCTCATATAAACTGACCAGCTAAAGGTGACAGCCAGACATTTGGTGAGATCTTGTATGATATTAGTAATTATCAATCACATTATGTAGCCTTAAGTGTCACCATCAGAGTTTACTTTTTACATCTTTAGCTAAGGCTAATGGCAAGTGTGATTAGAATGAATGCAACATTTGAATCAGCTCAAATGTGCACAGAGCACTGATCGCAGACTGTAGTCTTCAGATAATGAGCATAGAACGTGCAGAAGTCATTTGTTCATTCATGTTCATTACTGTGTGTTGTGTTCGCCAGGTGGTGCATCGCCTCCCTGCCCACATTTAACCAGTTCCATCCATCCATCCATCTATTATCCATACCACTTATCCTGAAGATGGTCATAGGGTGGGGCTGGAGCCAATCCCAGCTGACACTGGGCAAGAAGCTGGGGTACTCAACCAGTTTCTCCTAGTGGTAATTTTATGTACAAGTCAGTGTGGTTCAGTGTTAGGGTCATATGATGCACTGACCCCCATTAACCAGCTAACTGAATGATTGTGTGCGCCTGCTGTCAGCTCGCTGCATTCACTACTGTTCTAGCAGATCGTAGCAGCCGGGGGATTTACAGCATGTCTAGAAATACAAGGCAAAATGGGCTCCTGCCCAAAAATACCCTGTTGCGGTGCAATGTTTTTATGATAAACTAATGTGACAACACAATATGGATACAGCTCGGCCGATATGCCAAGTGAAATGTTCACTATTTTTAAGTCCTTTTTTAAGGCCAAAGAATCAGTAATGTTTTATTTAGATACAGTATGTCTCTGCACAGAGAACTGTAAAACTGTGTACTGCGATCTGTACACCTACGTATCTGCATCATACACTATACGCTAGTGCAACTTGTTACTCTTCATCACAGAGCTTTGTCCAGCGATGCGGCTGCCGGAAACCATCACTGCAAATCTAAAACTGAAAACTGTGCACTGAATGAACATTTTTGTGCTATTTTTAGCTGTGGCCTCCTCACAACAGATTCATTTGACAGATTATGCATGAAATTATCTTCACTTACCTACAGCAGCTTTTAAACTGTGAAAAAAATGTGATTTATAAACTGAAATACCTCAACTAGCATCAGACAAAAATGCTTATTTCAGCTAACCTTTCTCTTTTGACAATATTAACACTAATATTAACAGGTTGACAATGTGGCTATACGACGAGAAAGAGGTGGCTCTGATTCTCCGTAAAGCTGTGTGACCAAAATTGCAATATGTTCATGCTATAGATAGCTTATACAGGAGGTGCTGGTCCTCCTCCTGTTGTCCTTCTGCTCTCTTTGTGTGCACACATGGACTTTTCTGCCTCTGGCTTACAATCTGACCGCTTCTTTTTTAACCTCAACCACGGTCCTCTGCTCTGAATTGACAGTATTGACAGCATCAGTTTTTTTTGCCATTCAGCTGATCCTCTTCTCTTCATCATCCCTGAAGTGAGACCAGCTCTCCAATCAGTGTCAATTTCACAGTCACTGAAATCGCACTTCTCCTTTAGCTTTGCTTTCATTGCCATATCTAATAACTTGCTGTTCAGACAGTGCTGTTCTATGCAAATGACGGAATAAGGGCGTGTCTATGTCTATTTATGGATAAAGGTGGGAGTGTATAAGAAGCACATGTGCCCAATTCCATGACAATTCAGATTTATAAAGCAGAACTAGGTGTACTGTGGATTTATAAATCTGATGAAAACATGCACTCACTTCTGTCTTAGTGCATATGCAAAGTTTTAGTCATGAATCTACACAGAGTTTTATGCATCTGGTCCCAGGGGTGTCCAGGTGTGACACCAAAGGCATCGGCAGTTAAAACGATTGGAACAGCCAGTCATCATGTAGAATAGCCTCCTAATGGATAATGGTGAGACAGATGATTGTAAAGACCCTGCTCACAAGCCGAGCCCTCGGATCCTGCATAATTTTGATGTGACATTAATTAATACATCAAGCTTTGCTTTGCAGAGACAATAGAGCTACATGAGAAATTCTAGCACCACAGAGCACATCGTGAGTGTTTAAAAAGAGTAATAACACGAGGCCCACACAACAGACCACACACTACTGCAGGACTATATATTTGGCTTGGGATTGCCTTCAAATGTGTCGTAACTGTGAATGGAGTCTTGAGCAGGAGAGGCTGTATTGATCTGTGCACCAAACGGAATTAGTCACAGGGCCGGCCGTGCAGCTAGCAGTTTGATTCTCTGCATCACAAGAAGGCAGACCTAAACCAGAGCTAATGGGCAGCAAGGTATAATGTATTTTAGTGGCAGCATTGGATGAAGAGTGAACGTCTCTGTGAAATTACACAGTCAGGGTTTATTGATAAAAAGGCTGAAGTGTTGAAACTGATCCAGGCTCACAATCAAAACAGAACAGTAACATCCATCTGTAGCCGCCTACACTGTCGTCCCAGCCCACCTGGAGTGGGCACACACACATTTGGATTTTTAAGCCCATTTGATTCAGTGTATAACAGGCCTACCTGTGACCTGCAGCTTATCCTCGTTGACCTCACACTTGAGGAAAACACGTCCCCTCCTCTCAGTGTGATCAGTTCCACACAGGCTGGGCACGTTCATGACACACTGCTTATGGACGTTCATATCGCAGGCTGGAGGGGCACAGAGAGGAGATGACAAACATCAAGTAAGAGGACTTTATACAGATAAAGATGAATTTTATTCCAAATCAAACCAAACTAAATGGTTGAAGACTTTCTTGTCTGACATACTGATGCTGTTGAAAAGTTTCCTCACTAACACACCTCAACTGATTTATGTATTGATTATAGTATATAAGGGTACATTTTTTTGCATTTTTAAACTCTGAAATAACAATGATTAGAGATGCACCAATGCCCCTAGTTTAGTACAAGTACTTACATTTGAGTAATCGCCGATACTGCATGCAAGTATTGAATAATAATGCAATGTCTCTACTATAAACATTAGAATTACCATAAAAGTGCAATAACAGAGACAGTTTTATTTTCATGAGATTGACTTTCTGATTGTGATTAAATAAAATATAACAGGAGGAAGTACAAATGGCAGTAAAAGTTTCTGATAACAAACACAGCACTGCGACCATTCTCACTGAATATAAAGTGTAACCGACTGATTTTCTGCAGCCTACTACACAACACACTGTAGTACAGTGGTTTTTAACCACTTTAGGAGTGTGAACCTTTGTTATGGTTTTGTGGCTCCCCTGCTCAGAACACCAAATTAAGTTTAGAAGGGCATATTATCACAGTGGGCAATTTAAAAGTTTAATTTAACGAGGGTACGTGATCTTGCATTAAACTAGCTACTGTCTGTGGCTTCATCCTCTCTGCTGGATACATTCCTGTTCCGCTGTAGAGGAGCTGCTTAGTCATTAACTGCATAAAAGTAACGTCTGTTTTCTTCTTGTTCACAACAATTCACTACAACCAGCTTAATGGGCACCGGATGTGTTTAGTGTTTGAACGGGAACAGGCATTTTAACCATGGGGAAGATGAAGCCGTACCATTTCTGCAAGTTTATTGTTGTATTCTGCTTGCTACTGTTGGATTTTGTTGCACACATTGAACATTGTTGTCTGAGTGACCTCATGACCTGTGTGTTTGTGTGATGGGGAGGGAAGAGGGGCACTCATAGACACAGTAGAGCAGAGAAGCAGAGCTCCCAGTGGACATAATTTTTGTCATTGTCATTTTCTCAAGTCCTCTTCGCCTCTGAAATTTCCTCTTCGCCACCTAACAACCTGCTAAGCCTTTGCAAGGTTAGTGTAATGTTGCCAAGTTGTATTGGACAACTTTTACGAGGAGTACTGGTATCAGTATTGGTGCATCCCTAGCAATGATCGATAATTATGACAATACTTCATGATGCTAATAAAATATCTGTTTGATAAAACCCCGTCTTATAAAAGCAACATGTGCATGCACACAGCCTCTCACACCCTGATGTTCAAATACAGTGAGCTCCTTTAAGATGTCTTCTAGACTTAGTGCACCTATATAAGGACATCATTCTCTTTCATTCCACATATCATAGAGTAAGTGTTTAGCACATTAAAGATTGTTTTTATGAACACTGTGTGAAAGAGGAAATAAGGTTATGACCCAGATTCAGTCCCATGATGTCATCTATAAATGCATGTCGGGGGGTGAGCCACTCTGTCCTGAACTGGGAACAGTTTCTGACGGTTACATCATTATGCCACCAGGTCACTACGTAAAAAAATAATGAAAATTGATTATGCTGCTACTTCACTGTCTGTGGGAGCAATTTATTTGTTGTAACAGTCCTGTGGTTCACTGGTGCTTCAGAGCGCTACAGTGCAATCTTACTGAGTGTGATCAGAGGTGCAATTGATCTGCCAAAATAATTTGCCGCTCTACATCTCTATTTATACACACTGATCATTAGGAAGAAATGTGTGGTGGCCTGTAGTGGGTGGTGCATATTGTATTTAGGAGCTCATTAAAGCACTCAGACCTGATTCCACCAACACAAGACTAAAAAGAAGACGAGTGAGAAAGAGTTATTAACAAAGACTCGGTTTGATGTAATTTGATAGCAGGCCTATTCAAGGAGCACAAACATAGCTGCAAACTGAAAATAGGCAGTGTTGTTTTAAAAAACTGTCAAAGTGAAAGTCAAAGAGGAGGGGAAATACTTAGATCTATGACATTCAGTGAAGGGGAACAATAGGCTGTTTTTCAGAAGACTGATAAAATAAAGTGGCTCTTGAACAGAATCTAATGTAATTTGTACAGAGCCAGTTATATATTAATATGCCCACCACACTTATGCCTCAGTGAGCTGTATAACAGGGCATTTCCTCATTTACTGTGTTTAATTTACAATTTAAACCATCACTTACACTGCTGATGAAGATTAAACTGAATTACTCACAGTCGCACTTCATGCCCTGGTGGATGAGGCCATAGAGCAGAGAGCCACAGTGGTCACAGAACGTGGGGCTCCCATAGGTGTGGATCTTGAACTTATGCTTTGTTCTGGGATCCTGATGGAATCCAAAGAAAAAAAAAGATATTAAAAATGTGAAACAATAACATGGCTGGAAATGCAAACAATTACTAACTGTCAGTTTGTTAAAGCTACATGGACACATACAGTACTCTTCATGTTACTTACACGCTGGACACAAGGGATTAACAACAACGTATCAATTCCAAGTTGAAACACGAACTGCAATAATAAAAACGCATTTACTGTAGGTGTTTCTCAGCACCAAACTACTGCCTAATGACAACATCAGTAAGTGAGTACTGAGTTGGCAGTACTCAGGGGGCTTAACATTAAATTCAAGAGGACCAAACACAACTCACCTAGGCACTATTGCACACTTACACATCTACCCTTAGAAATAATTAAACAATTACATATTCTCACTTATTACCGCAAACACAGAAAATGATACTGGTTGATTTTCATTACTCTGTAACAACTGTCAGAAACTAAAGTGTAGGAAAATGTGTAAATTTAACGCCTGTCTCGTTGGATTCGGCTGTTAGGTTGTTTTCCTACATACGAGACAAATTCCAGTACACCATCTTATTTTTAGTTAGTATATCACACAGCAGTATGCAGTAAGTTGATGCCATTGTTCTCACATGATATCAAAAACTGTTTGCATATTTGCATACTGGGTTTTATTTTGGGGGGCGACTGTGGATCAGTGGGTAGAGCAGGCGTCTCCCAACCGGAGGGTCAGAGGTTTGAATCTCACTGCCTGCAGTCCACATGTCGAAGTGTCCTTGAGCAAGACACTGAACCCCCAAGTTGCCCCCAATGGTTAGAGCCATTGGTTGAGTTGGCGCCACAGTTGGCTGCCTCGGTTTTGTACCAGAAACAAATTCCTTGTGTGTGTAACATACGTGGCCAAATAAAGGTGATTATCCTTATTTTGCCAGCACAACGTGTCTCTCATGAGGAGAGGGTCGCCGACTAATGAGGAAACCAATTCATCTCGCAGTCAGACTCTGCAGGCAGTACTGTATCGTGTAAGATGGTCTGCTTATAATGTTTCTGACTTTTAGCTCTGAGCCCAGATTGAGTACTGAGGCTGTTATAGAAGAATGTGATGAGTTTGAAAACCCCTTGCATAAAAAATGTAATGAAAACAACAGGTTGAGTACCAACACAAACAAGTAGGCATTCAACAGTATGACCAAGCTCTCTTCTTATGCGTAGCAGATTAGGGAGTGAGCAGTGCATTATGAATCACCCCTGCAATGCCTTCCAAAGCTATGAGACCAGTTATCGACAAGTATGGCTATTATTTTATCATCCACAGCCCCCTGGGTGTTACTCCTGTTGTTATTAAGTGAGCATCTTAGAGGATGTAAAAAAAAAAAAGCCAGACCCTCTTCTTGTACAGCTGTACACTGTGAGCTAAAGTTACTCCCACAGCAAATTCACACTGGGACCATAATCACAATCAAGCTACATGATTATATTATCCACTAACCATGTCAGATTAACCTCATCAAATATATTTTAATAAAGTCTATATTTAAAAATCCCAAGATATACTGGAATGGATCAAGGACCCTTAGTCAAAATGTGCAAGTAAAGGTGACAGAGGATATTAATGATTAGTGCAATTAATGCACATAAAGTAGATTGTAGAATAGTAGACTAGAGAGAAAAGACAGCACTAATAAAACTGCCATCTGCTGAACTTTGTTTGAATTTGTCATTCCTGAACATGAATCCTGTATTTGCAAGGGCAGCTTCCTTCCCCCTTTCAAGGAAATGCAGCCCCTATCTTTTTATCAGATGCTCCCCATCACTCACTAGACCAGCATTCATTATACATTTGTATTCTCAAATAAAAGGATACATAACATTTAAATACAGCCAAACCTTGCAGAATTGACCTATTTGGCATTTCAGTAGATAATTCAATTCAGCACTAAAACAGTAATGCAACATTCATGAGCCGAGTTTGTTTTATTTAGCATCCTGCAGAATATTTACAATTCAGTAACATAATATTGTATTGGTATTGTATTAAACCAAACAAATAGCACCGTAAGTAAATGTCTGGAGGTGTTAAGTAAAGTCTGAAAATTTTTATTTGATCTGTGGGACAAGCAGAACCAGTTACCTCACTATTGTTATTCTTTTGATTCCTGAGCAGCAAATGGAAAAGTGCAGTACAAATATAGTGTTACTGCTACTGCTTTAATATTTGGGTATCGCTCGAAGGGAAGTGACTGACTAGAATGCCACTTGCTTGCATACATTATACAGTTCTCTCAAATGGACATTACAGATTCCTTCATTCATTTCATGCATGTAATCTGTGGTTTATGAAGCGCCCTCTGCTGGAACGAAACCTGGAAGACTGCCACTCTTCTAAGGACCTATTCAAAGTGTGGAACGAAACCTGGAAGACTGCCACTCTATGACCTATTCAAAGTGCTTTCCTGCGCATTCTCAATTTGTGCTGTATTAAAAATCTCATTCAGATTTAGGGGACATGGATCAGCACTGCTAAGACTATTGTTCTTTATGAAGTGAATGAAAAGCACTTGACCCAGGAGAAATAAATTATCACTAAGGGGAGCAGCATGTCATATATCTCAGTGAGAGCTGACAGTATCACACGGTACGGTGCCACGATGGTCAATGCTGTTGTTTGACTACTGCAACGGAGACTCATTCAGCCTCAAATCCCCTATCTGCCATTTCCTTGCTTGTCACAGTCTGCAGAGGCTTTACACCTTTATGGGACAAAGAGAAACAGTCTGTGTGTCAGGTGTCCGCTCCTGTACTGTGAGTGCTAAGTCAGCCCTGGTCTGAACCGTACCAAGGATTGAAAGGTCACAGTGGTTTGCATGTAAAACAGAGGCCAAGGGGGTTGCCTTTTGAAATGCAGAAAATCAAGCCATGAATCACTGAAATCTCTGAACCATCACAATCAATCAACAATCACCCTAACCTTCAAATAGATGATGATGACTTCCTGATAAAGGACAGTAAAGACTTGCCTTATTGTGAGAATTTCACAGTAAGAGTTCTTGTTCAGCACACTGAAGGTGTCTATCATCTTGAGCATCTTTTAGTAATGCATCTTCACATTTTGTACACAAGATATACAGTAGCTTCACCTCACAGCTACGGTGATTCATGTAGAAGCCAGTCGGGTATGGAGGATCATTACTGAAAGGCAACCAGCTACCTGTACTTTAGCTTGTGCTCTTTTAATACAATGGTCAAAACATTCTAACTCTGCCATTTAGTCATGTTATTGTTTTCATGCAAAGATAGAGCATTACAATCGCAGTCATTTTGTCCAATTAGGGACCCAGACAGACAAGAAAAAGCAAGAGGTAGACACACAGTATAGAGAGAGGGAGCGAGCTGCAATTACTCTTGTCCTCCCACACACAGCTGATTCTGAAGGATTATCCTCTCGACCCCCATTTTGCTTTGTTCCCTCCATCTATGGCATGAACAAGTGATGTCAACCAAGAGCTACATTCAGCTGCAGCTGAATCATCTTTTTTTTATCACCTGTAACACAAGTTTTTGATAAAAAAAAAAATCTTAAATGCTCAGAAATAATAAAAAATATGGGATAAAATAACACACTTGAGAGATGCCTGACAGGTGCGGGCATGCGGTCAACCACAGCCTCTTCTCATGAAAACTGACACTTTGCCCCACTGAACTGGATAATGATTGTACATGTGCAAAAGTGAGAGGATGATGCCATATCAAGCTCGGTTCATGTTTATATTGTGTCTACAATTCTTTTTATTACTGACTGAAACAGTGATTAATAGACTAATCTCAAAGTCTCTAAAATGTCACAAACTAATAACAAAGGTAATCACGTAGTCCCATAGTTGCTGTCACTCATTCGTGCTGTAGATGGAGGGAGCAAAGCAAAGGGTGGTCGAGAGGATAATCCTTCAAATTGTTTTTTTTTTACCTGACAAACAGCCAAATAAGGCTAAACGTCTACAGCCATACTAGCAGTTCTGTAAAACTGTACCTGGGTACAGTGGTGCTTTATGCTAAATGCTGATATCAGAATAACATGAGCACAGTGACAATGCTAACATGCTTACAGTGTATTAAACAGTTATGTTTGCCATGTTAACCATCTTAGTTTGGAATGCTAGCATGCTAACATTTGATAACTGGCACTTAACACAGATTACTGCTGAGGCTGATGGGAACTTGATCATAAACCAAAACACTGAATAAATTAAATTTTTTCCTGAACTGGCAGGATGAAAGGTCTGGGGATCACCAGGAGATATTGCAATTAATCCTGAGGGGGACATACTGTAAATATATACCAGATTTCTTTCATGACTGTGAACCTCACTGTGGCACACAGGAACACGACAGTCATTAGGATTCATCCTTCCATTCATCCAACCTGGCAGATGAAAACTGTCTGCTCTCACTGAGTTACAAAATGGCATTTAAAAAGCACTAGCTGTAATGTGAAGAAAACACTTGACTAAACATCACTGGACACACCAGCTTGTCCATTAACACACCCTTTTGTGAGATGTGGAATGGAGGGGCTTACCCCTGTGGCTTCTATCCCCTATTACATCCTATTGTAATTGCATCCTAATGGGAAAATCAAGACAGACTGGGCGGTGCTGCCTTACCACAACAGCAAGGAAAGCAGAGTGTAACACAGAAAGCAATGATGAACTCAGTCATTAGGCTCAACACAGGAAGGCCACAATGGGTGGTGCATACTTACTGGATAAGACATTCGACCTTTGGTTACCTGTAATATGAGAACCAATAGATGTCGCAAGCACATACGCAAAGACATTTAGCATCAGTAGGGGAGAATTACATCTGTATTATTCTGTGTTAAAAGCTGTGGCTGGAGTGCTGTTTGCTGTCAGACCATAATACCCAATCCAACAAAAAATTAAGGGCTTTGTCTGCATAGTGCGCATTGGCTCATGTGCATCAGTTTGCAGAAGATGCAGCTTATATAAAGGAGGATGGCGACAA